GTCTTCAGTAATGTTTTTCCTTTGCATTCTGGTGGGCAACCAGGAGCAGTGGCAATAGTCCACTTGTTATGTGGCTCTATGGACATCTTGAAAAACAACTCCAAGCAATGTCAGCATAGCTCTTATTGGACTTTCATTTGGCCAACTTATGGTTTTTAGAAAAACATATTTTAAAAAACAGATGGCAATGTTTTATTCGAAGAGATATATAGAATACCTCCTGGTCAGAAGCTGGAGCTCTGAAGCTAGACTACTAAGTTCAAGTTTGTCTTCTCATTCAGCAGGTAAATGGTAGCTACAAGATACTTAAACTATTAGTGTTATTCAAAAATTCATCATTTTATACTGATATTCCTGTATCAGATTCTTACACACAGTTAGGTTGCTTGATCTTCTGACCTCTGGAATTTTAATTTCTCTGATTCCCTTTCCATTTCTTCTCCTTGGGCTATTTAAGAACTTGGAAATTGTAATATCTAAGGCTCAAATAACTTTTTAATGATACATATGCACCACAATCCCATCAATCTGTATTTAATTCCATGGACCTCCCCCCAGTCTTTTTCTCCAAATAATCCATTATCTAATAAATGAATTTCCTTCATGATTCAACCCAGTGTCATTGACTTTCAGCTCTACAGCACCACCTTTGTCTGCCCTTCATCAAAATTTCAAACCTTTAATTTCAGTTTGATCACTTATTTTTCTCCATTCTGACTTTGTACATTGGTCTGATTTGGAAAGGAAAATCTTTAAATTTTCATGTCTGAGTGCCAACTAATAATAAAATTTTGACTTATTCTTTTTTGAGTGCTTTCCACACATCAGGTGATAAAAGATCAACATCTGTTCTCTTGATAGGTAAGATAGATGGTACTGTTCTCTGCTTAATAGATGAGAACCCAGTGCCTACAATCAGGCAGGCACTTGACAAAGATCAGAGCCATGGTAAATAGCACTGGCTGATTAAAAATGTGATCTTTTTTTTTCCTGCAAAGCAGAAATCACTGTGCCACATGCTTCTCCTAAAGAGCTTCTGATGCATTGCTGAGCTTTCTGCCCTTCATGGTTCCATAAGTACTCTGATTTTATTATTCTTTAGCATTAGTTTGGATGTTTGCACAATCTCTGTTATGGTTAACTTTGGAAAAATAAAAAGTGTTCATGGGTCAATAAGCTTTCTATCCCCAGACACAGTGGCTCTCTTGGAGCTTTTCAATTTAAAATATCTCCCTATGTGTTTATCTGTTAATCAGATATCCATATTTTGATGTTAATATCCATATTGACCTCTGTCTTTAGGCTTTGGCACTTGTAGATGAGTATCTTAGAATAAACTTTGTTCATACAGTTGGTCTTTGAGGCTGGTTACTGATACAGCTTCTACATTCCTCAGAATTTTTTTAGTAAAAAAAAAATCATTCTTTCTAAATAGATAATTCTAGTGGCTTTGGCATAGGGGCTGGATGATAAGCAGGGCAACCTTCTGATTAAAGTGTTGAACTTCTAATTCTCTTGCTGTTTACCTCCCAAAGGCTGGGATTATATGCATGCAACAATACATCACTCTTAGAAACATATAGTTTCTAACATCAACATTTTTACATTAACTGCCATTCTATTACGTGTCTTTCTTTTTGTTGCTGTTTTAATTCGAACCAGTCAGTGTATAGGAGTAAAATCTTAGGTGATTTCTTCATATGCAACCTTAAGTTCCCTCAAATGTCACACAACAGTACTGATAAATCTCACAGAATTTACCATGCACTGGGAGCTTGTCTTGACTCTTCTGATGTTTACACCCCCTTAACTCTCAACAAACGGGGGTGTTATTTCTTGTCACTATTTGACAGGTGAAGAGAGAATTTGAAAATTCGCCCAAGTGTAAATGACAAGGTTGAGGTGTGAACTCAGAGATTTTAGCTTTATGCTTGATGGTTTCCGCCACTGCATGATGCTACCCCTGACGAACATAATCCTTTCCATATTAAAAGTCTTCTGTAATTCCCAAATTCTTCCAAGGATCTCACAGTCTTTAAATAATGCCTTGAAATATTGTTTTCTTCCACCTCAGTTATTAAGTACTTTTCATTTTTTAATGTGTTTCTTTAGTCATTATTTCTTTAGAAAATTCTTCATCAAATGAGTATTACTAATTACTTTGTAGAATGCAAACATTTGTACAACTAAAATCCGTCATGGTTTTGTGATATTACACTTATCTGCGTGCTATGCACTAGAATATAACTGAACAAAATTTTATCTTGCCTGTGTAATGCAGCCTGGTGTATGGGTGCATGTGTGCGCGCCCGCGCGGGCGTGCACACACACACACACACACACACACACACACACACACACACACACTATCCAATAAATGCTTGAAATAAACACAAGATGATAAGGCTGGAAGGGAGGTATGGGAATAAAGAGGGAAATATTGAAGGTGGAAAGGAAAGTGAGAGTGAGGTACAGGGAGAGAGAGAGAGGGAAGGAGAGAGAGAGAGGAAAACAGGAAGAAGTTGCAAATACCTGGCAGGAACATTTCACAACAAACCTGCAAGTTAGTAATGCTTTTATATCTTTTCTCTTGAATCATTACCCAGGCTCCACTTAAACAATACCAATCATCTCAAGATAAATTGCTGGACAAATCTGAGCAAGAAGGTATTTTCTTATTATCTGTGAAAGATACATTTGAAGATTCACAGTGGGTAGCTAAAACCATGGATCCATAGTGGGTAGCTAAAAACCATACCAATCCATAAGCATGCTGTCTTCTCTCATCACATACATAGCTGTAACACACTTGAATTTGTAAGTGATGCACGGAAAGAGATTCACAGTGATGACTAATGGAGAGAGAGAGAGTAATCATAGCAGTCTACAGTAATACAGTTTTTGATATTATTCCTTTCTCAAAATATTATACTGCACCCTTCATTTGCAATGTCTAAAGATAACAACGTCTACAGTATGAGATGAAGTGAGGTGAGAGAGGCCGGCCTTGTGGTGCGTGCACAGAGAGTATTTGTACAAGAAGATCGTGATGTTGTAACAGCAGGCCACTTAGATCAGATGTGACTTAAGAATGGATAGGGTTTACAGAATAGATTGGTTGGAGAAAGGGATGGTCCACTTCCTTACTGGGGTGTAGCAGGGCACTGAAAACTGGCCATTCTCAGAAAGGTGCATAACTTAAAACTTAAGATGGCTTTAATTCTGGAATATTCCTTTTGTTCCTTTCAAACTACCATGGACACTAGTAACAGAAACATCAGAAAACTAAGCTGTGGGTAATGGGGGATGGTTGTTTCAGAAAACCTGCCTCTACATAGATTTTGATTCCTTATAAATTTCACCCATTCAAATTTCCTTTTGGATTACCTAAAATATATTTCAAATCATAGCATTTCAAATTTTTGTAGGTATATTTCTCTGTGTACTATTGTTTCCAAGTCTGGTAACAGCTAATAACCTGTATTTTATGATACAATTGTATATGACATAATTTTCATAAGGTATGTGCCTCAAACAATTTTTAAATTTTGATTTATGCCAATTAATTTGTTTTCTTGCCTTAAGAATATTTTAGTAGATGCCGGGCGGTGGTGGCGCACGCCTTTAATCCCAGCACTCGGGAGGCAGAGCCAGGCGGATCTCTGTGAGTTCGAGGCCAGCCTGGACTACCAAGTGAGTTCCAGGAAAGGCGCAAAGCTGCACGGAGGAAACCCTGTCTCGAAAAACCAAAAAAAAAAAAAAAAAAAGAAAAAGAAAAAGAACATTTTAGTTGGCTTCTCACCCCAAATAAATTTGAGTGTGAAAATAAATAAATAATACTTCACATCATGTTTTGTTCATGAGAATTCATGTTACAAACATGGTAATAAGTATTTCAAAAGACTTTGGAATATAGGAATCTACTGAATTCCTCTACAAGTGTTTCACAAATGTATATGGTCTTTTTATACAGAAATATATTGAGTTGTTAGAAAATCATGTTGAAATCATATAGAAATTTGTATATAAATTTTGTATTATATATTTATTATTATAGTATCTGAAAAAAATTATAAAACTAGAATGCAACAGAAAAGTATACCTGGTTGAATAATGAAATACTGAGTTTTTTAAAACTTATCACAAATAAGTGTGTTACATCATGTACTTAGAATATAATCTTTCTTATGCTAATTGGAAAAAATAAGACAGGAGAACATTTTGTATTCATGCTAGCAAAACAGTTGAGGCTAAAACACTTTCTTATTATAACAGTTACTAAATGAAAGTTGTGAATAGTGTCCCTGAAACAACATCACACTTCCCTTTTGTTAGAAAACATTGGATATTTTTATTTAGAAAATCCAAAACACCATGAGCAAAATAAGTGCTGGAAAATTTGCAATTTGAGTAAATTTCTGCTGTTAAAACAGTGTGCTTTCGTGAGAATTGTGTTATGATAACTGTACAATGTAGGGATGGAGTTACTGGAAAATAGTGTATTAGATATAAGAAAAAAATATAGGAAATGATAGTAAACCACAAATGTCTTGATTGTTTTAATCTTAAGTGACTAGAAGATCTCTCTTCTGCTTCACTGTTTATTTCTAATGGCTAGGAAGCATTTGACTAGTAGGTTCGTGGTGATTATGGCAAAGGGTTATTTCACTTATTCATTTTCTGCAGCACTTCCTACATCTGTCCCATTGTTGTGCTGATAGGCACACAACCAGTACACATAAATTTGGTCATAGACAAGTAAATCACTTTGGATATGTAACCATAAAAATGACTTGATATTAGTAATATTAGCAAACAGACAAAAAGAGCGTTGAGTTGAGACGTTATCTCAACTCTGTGTCTATTTTAGTTAATCAGAGGGAAGCAAATTAATACAAGCAGCAGCTGTATGCCAGTGACCGAAGCATTTTCAAATGGAAAAAAAAAAATAAGCTGCACAGATGAAAATTGTGGTTAAGAACAATTGTTAAGTGTGGCTTGTGACCTAAACCTAGGAGAAACAATCAAATTTCGTGCCACACACACATCGACTCTTAATCCAGTTTGGATTTGGTGGCTGTTTATATAATGAAGGCCTGAAGAAGCTTGAAGCATGTCACTAAATCTATGGGGATTGGTGGCTTGATTTCATTCCCATCCAGGCGCAGGTAGCTCAGTTGAGGTCCATGAATGAAGGCGTCCTGTTCTGCACGCAGGGTGGTGGGACATATTACCGAGATGTTCACATCTACGGAAGGAAAAATAGCATGAGCGGTTAAATTGAAACACCAAAAAAAGTTTAGAAGTCTAGATGAAACAATACTGCAGTGGCCCTAAGGGGCCGAATGACCTCATGTGATGAAAGCTGTAGAGATACAAAGTGTTGTCTAACAAGTTATTGTACCTATCTGTTTCATAAGAATAATCCCGGAAAATATTTGATGGAACAGGTGCAGTGTTCTCACTCTATGCCCTGCTGTATCTTAGTGTGAGATATTGCATAGGTAGTATTATTCAAAACAATGATAGATCCAAGGTAAATAAGATATCTCAGATATTTTCTAAGCTTACAGGTGAGAGGAAGCATGTGAAAATTGCCTTACTATGCAAAAAGGAGAAACGTATTTGGAGGATTAAAAGCAGGGACAGCTATTAGACCTGGTACACAGGTAAATGAGTCGACTGATAGATAGGTGGAAGAATTCTTGCAAGGATAATATGCTGTATTGTTACCTTAAAATATGCGAAGTAATATATGGTATGTTTACATGAAGTATTTATCGTAATTCTAATATAATACTTAAAGTCATGAATCCCCCCACATGAATCTATTTAGTTGGAGAGAAGGCATTTGCGAAGGGTTGAGCCCAGGAAATACCCCATCAACCTTTATACCTGGTACTGATGGGAAAAGGAAGGCCTGTCTTGGACTAGAGCTCATGGCACTAACAGCCACACTGAGAGTCCTCTCCAGAGGGAAGAGCTGTTATGTGCCCAAAATTCCTGTAAGCTTGGGGCAGATGATCTCAAGCATTAATCCATGGCTTCTGCTTTCGACAAAAAATGAGCAAGAGGTCCTTTTCAACCAGACACACCTAACTTGGGAAAAGTCTCTCTCCTATGTCTTTTTGGTGCAAACACATTCACAATATAATTTCAAATGATTTAATACTTGGATAATGGCTGTTTTGTCCAAACCTTATGTTAGCTTGTGAACTGACTTGATTTAAACAAGGCTCGCATATGTAAATCAGCTTTGTGGTTATAATTTTTTCAAATGCATAATCACTTTATCCACACACAGACCTTATCAGGAAATATGACTGTTCTTTCCACCTGAGTATTGTATAAAAAGTCAGCCCAGACTAGCCTTTTTCTCTTACTTGGGATCCTTGCCCACCAGGGATACTGTGTTACACTCAGTGCCTTATTTAATATCCTCATCACTCCCATACCTCATATTCAGTATATCCAAATAACTGGAATAAGAGAAATAGGAGTTATAAACTTAATAATTTTCCATAAATTAGGATTCTTCTCAGAGAATGTGGAGAAGTAACTTATTGGAGTATATGCATATTTTCCATAAAAATTCAAGTCCCTCGTACTCAGAAGAAATACATGCTTTTCCAAAATCACAAAAGCCAAGTTCATTGGTAAATTTAATGGACTTTTCATATAAAAGTTTTTTGTTTCTTGCAAATATTTTTAACAACTAGATTATTTGACAAGAACTAAGTACATTAACAATTATTATAACACAGTGTGATCGATAAAATTCTCATCCAGTGAGTCCAACAAAGGAAATCCTTATTCTACATTTATTTCCATGGTAAACAAAACTAGATCCGTGTGTTAAATGAGCGGACATGGCTTCCTTTTGTTCAAGGTGAGAGACGCGAGCCTCTGGTTTTGAGTGTCCCATTACTCTGTGTGATTGGACAGCTACTGTCCCCTACCTGGGTTGTAGTTTTAGTTTTCTCTTTGAACTTCCCGACAACATCACAAAAGGGTCTTGGGAGGCTTCGGGTTTCTCCAGCCAAGGAAATGATTACAAGCAACGAAATGATTACACACTTGAATCCTTAGTCTCCTGGGGTGGGGGATCCCTACAACCTTTCACAAACTCAATTGAGTCTGACACATGCTAATATACAAGGTTGACTGACTAAAATATTGGAATGTATTTCACAGCCTTTGAAAACCTGTGAAGTTTCAGGAGCAGACACAATGGCTTGCTTCGCAACCTTGTTTTCAATGCTGGCACCTCATTCCTGAAGACTTGATCTCAAGCTCCCAGCATCTGCAACTCACATACAAGTCTATGTTGAATCACCTGAAATTAACTTCGATCTCCAGTTATTTGTGGGGCTTTATTATAGATAAGGAATTAACCTATAGGAACATAGACCTCTCATCAGGAAAAACATATAAACCCAGGGTCCTCCTTAAACATTATGATGTTTGGCTCAACTAAACATACTCATCTAACAATTTTTCTATGTTGTATCTTTTCCTTCTGACTGGTGTGTTAAACAGTGCATTTCCTCACTACTGGGGAAAAAAATAACTGCTCTGTTGGCAACATGCCATATAGTTCCAGAATTTTATGCTAAATTACATGGCAACAATAATGAAAACAAAAATCTATGCTCCCCAAGCAGTGCCCAGTGGAAAGGTGCTCCGACCCTGTAATGGAATGGTTATGTGATCGTATGCTAAATGAACCTTTAGCGAATGATAACTAGGAAGCATAAACCTGTGGCATTTATCTGGGTTACTTTCTATAGAACACTTTCATCAACACTCACTTCAAGACTGCATTAAAAAATTACAGAAGGAATCTGCCCATGGTTATTCTCCCAAAATGCGTATATTGGATATATGAAGATGAATCTTAGCCTGTGTACCAGTTCCTAAGCATGGATTATAAAATTGCTCACTTTCATCACCACAGAGAGCCTGATGTAATTATGAACAGGTTGAGTTCATCTCAAATGTTTCCAAGAGTGTACATTTTGTAACCACTTCATCCTTCGATAACATTTTTGCTTTGAAAGGCTTCAACCTGATCCACTGTCCACTCTATATCCAAAGCTGTTTTCAAGAAAGAATAGTTATTTTCCTCACTGTGGATCCATAACTAAGTCCTGGTAATTACCAGTTCCCAGGGCATTTGTTTCCATCTCAAGTAACTAAATTCTTGAGCATCTGTAGTACCTCTATGTATGATAACCCACAGCATCAGGACCAGCACCTGGGAACTTGTTGAGAATGAGAGGTCTCAGGTTCTACCCAAGACTGAATGACTCAGAAACTCTGGGGTGAGGGGACACTATCATATGCACACTGAAACCCACTCTACATGGAGTATTTGGTCAATGATGATACTTAGGGAGATTCAGGCATCAACTCTTATATCCTATTCTATAGATAATTCATGAGATTGTACCTTCCATATTTTCTCCAACAAATTTACCCCACAGAGTGCCAGGCATGGGGGCACAATCCTATAATCCTGGTACTCAGGATCCTGGGACAAGAAGTTGACCTTCTATTCAAGGCTACTCTGAGAGGCACTGAGATGTAGTGATGTTTAACCACAGAGAGAGAAATACCAGAATCTCTCCAAGGCAAAGAAAACAGAGGTGTTTCCTTTCTCCCATATGTAAAAGTCCTGTGTAGATGACTAAGTTCAGTTTTCAACCCTGAACTTGAAGATTTGGGAATTTTGGTTTATGAAAGCTGAATCAACAACATTGTGTAATGAAAACTGAAAATAATTTGTCAATTCTAACAGCCCATTACTTGTGTGTTGGTAGGGGGAACAACACAATTGATATTCTTACAAGGGACAGAGACTAGACATCATGATGGACATCTTGGTCACAGGCATATCCTCATGGCTACTTACTTTTAATTTTGTTGTGATCAAGGTGAAGGTGCTGCAGGTTAGCGTGAATTCGGGGGAAGTTTGTGAGCTGGTTGTGAGACAGCTGGAGATCCAGAATTGACGACACATCAAAACCTCTCGACGGGAGGCCTGCATCTGACAGTCTGTTGTGGTTAAGTCTCAGGAAGGCCACTTTAGGAATCACGTTGAAATAATTTTCGGGTATTGCTTCAATGGAGTTGTTGTCCAGAAACAGCTGCATGGTGTTGGCTGGTAATCTTGGAGGCATGTTCCTCAGGGCATTCTTGGCCATGTTTAGCTGCATGAGGTTCTTAAGTCCCTTGAAGGTATCTCTTTGAAAGGCGTTATCTATAAGTTTGTTATGCTGTAGGTCAAGAAGGGTCAGGTTTTCCAGATTACTGAAGGTCCCCTGAGGGATTCTGGAGACCTTGTTTCTAGCTAACTGTAACTGTTCCAAACTTCTTGGCAATGGAGAAGGTACCTCGTCTAGCTCATTGTCTTCTAGAAACAGGAAAAGAAGTTTCTTTAGCTGGCTTAGAGCCCCCTTCTCAATCCCGTAGTTGGTTATTTTGTTCTTGTTTAAATTGATCCATCTTAGCTGGGTGGCGTTCTCAAATGGTTTCTCGGGTATGGTTTCTATCTGGTTGTTTTCCAGGTAGAGGTACCAGATCCTTGAAGGAATAGCAGGGATTTCTCTGAGACCTCTGTTCTCACAGTATAAGGCAGTAGGGAAACTAGGTGGACAAAAACATTCCCTGGGACAATAGAAATCATCATGCACATCCCAGTCCTCTGGATCCTGTACCTCATAGGCCTGTCTCACACTCTGTGTCCACACAGTATCTGCTATGAGTAGCACCCAAAGCATCAAACAGATTGAGGTTGCCATTACAACACCTGTAGAGTAAGTAACACAGATGTTAAATAGTACACTGATCTTTAAATACTGGCAAGAATCAACCCAGTAAGCATTGTTTCTTCAAGGTAGGGCTGAGAATCTTTACTTCTAATCCATACATAGCAATGAATACACATTTATTGAGTACCCATCACAGGCAAAGCAGTTTACAGACGTTGAAACAAATTCACAGTCCTTAACCTTTCTGGGTTTAACTGAGTCATAGTGAAAGCTGAGAAATGGAAAGCAAAGTTTAGAAGCTTAAGTGCTTTTCCATTTCAAGCTATTAACTCGAGAAACTTTGCTGAAACCAGTAGTTGAGTATAAGAGAACAAAATGTGATCTAATAAATGAAGTGGCAACTGCCTGCTGTTCCTAAGAGGTGGGCATCTGCATGTGCTTTTATTTTTACCCTTAAATGAGAATAACATCTGGAGGAGATTTCCCAGGTTCTTTGGCCCTCGGACCAAAGAAATATAGAGATCAAAGGACAATTTAGAAGTTCATGGTAAAGGATGGGTCTAGGATCTGAAGTAAAGTATGTGATTCATCTCTGGCTCTGTTGCTGAACTTCTCAGGTAAGCTTTACTTTTGGGAAAGAGTTGTGTAACTTTAAATACAAATCAGAATGAAGATGTTCAGCCAAGAAGCAGAATTATGAAATTTTCACATAACCATTTTCTCCTATATAATTGTTATAATCTCCCTCATATATACTGTCTCTATATTTTACAAATGTATATATATATATGCTCATGCCTGCATATGACAGAAATTATTTAGAACTAACGTATCAGTTATGTAATTTTGATACATGTTTATTCACCTATGACATAATTAATCAGGATAAGAAAGAACAAAACTATTTAGAACATAAGTTATAATTTCCCCTATATTTATGTATCCAGTATAAATATAACAAACACTAAGTTAATAGTTTCTGATGTATACTTTTAGAAGAAAGAAATTTTCCTCCATTGAATAACACCAAATATAACATTCACAAAGAACTAGTGTCATAGAAAAATATATGCATAGTACATATTTTAAACATTAGCTTATAACCTGTGTTATATATACATATATAAAATTTACCGTTTCCTCAATGGGCATTTAGCTAAAACAACTAATAGTAAGCACAAATGCATTTCACCAAATCCTAGGGACATGAACATAAAACCACTCATTAGTGGAATGTTGGTCTTTCATTCCTCCCATTAATGTTCAGAACAGTTTCTGCCAGCTGTCAGACTGCCTCCGAAGGCAGAATGCTTCTCTGGACTGCTTCCAACAGAGACAAGTTAAAGTTTCGTCAGACTAGAGATTTGCATTAGCTATTGAAGTTGTAACACCACATCTTTGGAATCAGAACTCTGAGTATCTCACCCCAAAAGTTGTATAAAAAGTACAGAATAGTTTACCTTGCTTTCCAGGAATATACCGTTGAGTCCCGTGGCTGGTCTGACGCTGAGTAAAATAAATTGATGGGGGAGGGGAGGTAGTAAAAGAATGAAAACTCTTTGTTTTGACTTGATGCTGTTAAACCTCCAATCAGAATAAATGAAAGGGATGGTGACTCTTCACCATGAAGACCTTTGGATGTATTGTTTCCACTCTGACAGGCTCCAGGATGGCTTACCTCAGCCTTCTTGGATCTTCTCCCTTCTTTTCTATTGGCCACTGCCCCTCACAGTAATGGAGCGACCCAACCTTTGCAGTCGGGTTTTTAGAGTCTTCTGTAAGATGTATGCACTGTTGGCTCCAATTTCAATCCCTCCAACAATAGCAGTACCTTGTCACCTCAGGAAAGGAAACTTTTCTTTTAATTCCAAGCATGATTTTCAATAGTCAAGGCAATTTTCACTCTCACTTCACAATTCCAGAGACGTTAAAATGTGCTGATGTATAGATCGGATCCACTAGCCAGCAACTGAGGAGAATTTTAATTGTAGCCAAAACAAAACGAGATTTTGAAACATTTCTTTTTCTTGATGATCTTTTAAAACAATTAAGCACAAAAAGTAAAGGCCAATATATTCTGTTCATGTGGACATATTTTATTCATTTCTGATATAAAACAGATGCTGGAATGTTTTGATTAAGAGAAACACAGATTTGAAAAAAAAATAAAATTCTCTTGGAGTAGCTATAGTTGATTTACCTGCTAAATATAGTAATCACCTTTGTTTCATAGGATCAATGATTATCTCTCTATCCCCCCATTCCTTAATAACTTTAAATAATTATTAAAACAGGATGACTTTTTATTACATTGTAACACATGTTTTACATTCCGTGACTTATAAGGCATTCTGCTGTACTGAATTTTTTTTTCCTCTAACATATGTCTAGGCTAAGTTCTTCTATTTATCATATTTAAGGGAAAATGGTAATTCTATTGAGGGAGGATGCAAACAAAAATCTGTTTTATTTCAGGCTGTTTTCTGTTGACCGTAGTCATTTTTTTTTTTTTTTGAAGAAATACATGTTATTAGGAGATCAAAGGCTTTCATGTCTATCACCCACCAACACTGTTCATATGAGTTGTATCAGAGACAGAGGGCGCTGGTGGGAAAGGACCTTTCTGATCCATATCTTCCTATCTCTGTGGCCTTACACGGGTCCGTTAGGATTCAGTTTTATCATCGACACAACAACAATGGACTCCCTCACAGATTTAGTTTCTTTTTAATAAATGAATACAGAAATACTAGTCTTTC